GAAGACCGTATTAGCGATTAGGAATTATTAGAGAATAATTGGGAAATTAACAAATTATGCAATTTCTGCGATTAATCTATGAACTTTTATAACTGTATCACATAGCTGGCTCCTTGCGCAATATTCTTATACAATTTTTGCACATAATTTGACGCTAATTAGTTTGTTATTATTACTTACTTGACGACGTACGTGATTCGATAACAACGATCGGCGCGATGGTCCTAAAGAATAATTAATTATGAACAAAATTAGAAGTAAAATAAGAACAAAAATGATATGAGAATGTTCCCAAGGATATTGTTTTTATAATGTGGGCATGTAATTTATAAATTAATTGCATAGAAGATTGTAATTAATGAAAAACCAATAGTATTATCGGTATCAGTTCGAACATTCTGAGTAATAATTACACATAACTATACTCTTATACGTAAACTATAATATTTATCGTTAGTAACAAATTATTAATGTTAATAACAAATTGTTCATAACGTAAATTTATAATAAAAGTGAAAACATTAAGGAATTACTGGTTATTACTTGAACTTGAAATGAATTTGTGTCAAAATGTAACTATAGTTTGCAAAAAGTTTATAAATTATTACACTGATTGTTTATAACAAATTAATATTGTAAATAACAAATTGCACGCAAATAATAAAAGTGAAAAAATTAATAAATGATTGCCTATGAAAGCAGAAAATTAATAAATAATAAAATCAACGAAGCTCAAAAATTTCCGATCGGGGTGGGGGGTTCGACTGATCGACGGCTATATAAGGAGCGACGCGACAAAGTAAAAGTCATTTGTCATTTTGACTTCAGAAGTGACACGTTAAATTTTTCGTTGTGCGCGAGGGGTGGGGATCCGAAATGTGGTTGGGACTAGCCACCCCATCCACATCCCACCCCATTAAACAATTTATTAATCATTTTTGTTTTGTTTTTAGGTTTTAATTATTTTTTTTCATTTCAGATATTATTTTTTCTTTAGTTGAAAATTCGAATATTTTGTAGAATATTCGAATGCTTCGTCGTTGGTTTATTTATGTCTCGGCGTTGGCTAAATCAATGGTTATTCAGTAGCCATTGTTCACTTCCTTAAATAATTTAATAATAATTTTTTTTCAGGTTCTAATTAATTTTTCTTACAGGTTTTAGTTAATTTTCCACTCATAAATTTTAATAGTATTTCTTAGAATACTCGAACGCTTCGTTGTTCATTTCTTTATATCTCACCGTTGGAATGTTTCTGTCTCGCCGTTGGGTTGCTCGTTCCACTTGGTTATTAACCTTCATGGTTTCCGTTTCTTTTGCTTTCGTTTTCTTTCCTCGTACTATCCGTTTTCTTTCAGATTCATGTTAACAATAATATATTCTGTTTTAGCTTTTAGGTTTCTCTAGATTTTCAAGTTGTATCAAGACTTCATTTGGGACACATCGATGGACGACGCGAGATGTTTGCGTTTATTTCTAAGTAGTCATAAGATAGACTCCTAAACTAAGTACCATGTGCGCGCTATCTATACAAAGGTAAACTACCTAACTTGGAGCGAATTTTATATTTTTCCTCTCTTATCCCTCTCGTTACCAAATCGAATATAATTGTTCTCGTGGTAATCGCGATTGTTCTTAAGTACCGACTAGCCTACGCGACGTACTCTCGTCGTACTTGACAACATCACGTCTCATAAGTCATCCTTACGACTCGTCTCCGATACTCATTTTCAGTCATTGTCAATCTCGTCAAGCATCGAGTTCCAGGGCGGCCCTCGGGTCACTGAGTCTTCTGGAATCGATGCGAGGGTCCAGCACCCTAGTCGTTCGCGACTGGGGCATGGACCTGCAGTTGGACGGACATAGTGTCTACGGTTAGACCACAGGGATGATTAAGTTCTACCCCGTGTGGCTGGGATGCGAAGTGTCTGTCTGGCTTGCAAGGCCCGGCTGGACCCTCGCATCGACTCTAGGAGTCTCATTGGTTCGGGGACTATCCTTGGTTCACGTGTAAGTCTTGACGAGTACGGCAGTGGCTAGATTTGGACTAGGCCCGATCCGGAGGGTGCCGAGGCATGAAGTTGTCTTGTACACGAGAGTACATCTCGTCGGCTAGTCGGTCTTTCAAATAATCGCGAACTCGTTCGGGCGCGTCGCGATTTTCTCTTAGTTTTTCTTTGCTCGCGTTTTTCATATTTGATTCCCCAATTTTGTGGGAACTTAGAAATATTAGTCAAATATTTTAGCGTTGCGACAGTAGACTAATAAATTTTAGTATACCGTATCGAAAACCCTTTTGTAAGGCACGAAATTTAATAAAGTGTCAGTAGATTCACTTTAACTTCTTTCGCTCTAAGTTAGGTTAGCATGCCTTTGATACAGATAGTGCCAGCAGGCTGCGCCACTAGGGCGCATGTCGGGTCTCGATGCGTAGCCACCTCCTCGTGGTGAGACCTGGTAATTGGTATCGTTTTCCAAAGAATAATTTTTGGAAAACGATACCAAGCTAAGAGCTACGCACAAAGTTTAAGATATTTTCTATCTTTTGTAAATTTTTGATGTTTCAGTTAAACGTTTGACGATTTTTAAGGCCGCGAGAGGTAAGTGGACGGAATTCTTGGCAATGACGTCATTCAAATACTGTTATAGTTCATAAAAATGTATAAATAATCCAATTTCTCATTAATAATAAATTGTTCATAGCGTAAATTTATAATAAAAGGAAAGAATTAATTAATTGGTTATTACTTTAACAATATCATACTAATGTATAAATGTACCTATAATTTGCAAAAGTGTAAAAATTATTACACTTATGTGTAATAACAAATTGGTCACAACGTAAATTTATAATACAAGTGGAAAAATTATTAAATTGTAGGCTATTACTAGTATATATAACGTATTTGCGTGAAAATGTATCTATAATTAGCAAAAAGTTAATAAATTCCTACATTTATTGTTAATAACAAATATTTTGCTACGTATATTAACGATAAAAGTAAAAAAAGTTAATAACTTATTAGCGAATACTTAAACAAACAACGTCTTTGTGCTAAAATGTATTCATAAATTATAAAAAGTTAATAAATTAATATATTTATTGTTAATAACTAATTAAAATCCTTGATAACAAATAGTTTGCAACGTATATTAACGATAAAAGTCAAAAAAGTTAATAAATTATTAGTTATTATAGCGGAAAAGTAACTTT